CTCTCAGAAGTGGATGGTCTGCCTGCTGAGGTAACAACAGGTCCACAGAAGGGATGGGTAAGCCTGCAGGTGGCTGAGTGATGCAGCGGGACAGTGCTTAGAGAGGCAGCAGTGGCTCTGACAGGTGGACTTAATCAGTTTCATGATCTAATTATCCTAGACTTAGGAATGCCAAGGATAAGACCCACCAAGGTCTGTGAGCCTAGACTCATTGCTGAAGGGACTCAGTCATCAGCTGAGGTGACAAGTTATCTCATCAGTGTCCCTTCATTCATGTCAGGGCCAGCCAGAGACTTGGACTTTGAGCAAGGTCTTTGGAGGCCAGAGAGGAAGCATGCAAGCTGCCCTGCCCTCAGGGAGTAAGATGGCCTAAACCTGTTGGCTGTCCAACAAGCTAGGCTCGGCAGAACAAGTGTACCATGATGTCTAGTCTCAGATAACAAATAACTGTACAACAAATCTTGCTGTTATCTCATTTCTAAGTGCACTTTCTAAGTGAACACTTACACGCTTACTTCTGGCCAAGTAGCCATGGGTATATGTCTTCTACATGACAAACTTCCTTTAAGACATTCTTCATGCCACTGTGGCCTGGCTGAGTGCCCACCACAGTCCTTGTGTGGGGAAAGGCCACTCACATGGGTTACTCTATGCCAACACGCCACACTGCTCTGTCCTCCTGCTCTGCAGGAGCTGCCTCATTATTCTCATTTTACAGACATGAATGCTGGTTGTGGTGAGATTTGTCCACTTTCAGTACCCAAGTTGGGTCCATGGCAGATTTGGTGGTCCTACAATGGCCCATGGTGGCACTGGGGCCAGGGAATATGCCTTCTAGCCCCAGCAGGTTATCAGCCTAATTATGGTTTCGGTGAGTTACATCCCCTTCTGAGTCCTATTTTTCCATTTGCAAAAGACCAGAGAATGTCCCTCCCAATATACACAAGAGTGCCTACCTTGGTCTGGGCATCATTGAGGATGCCAGCAGGCTTCTGGCGGAGGCAGGACACCACTTCTTGGCTGGATGTGGTAGGGCAGCTGACTTCCTTTGCCAAAGTGACCACCTGCTGTCGAGCCCTCTCTGGGCTGATGATAGCGGCTGGGGAGAGTGCGGAGCCTCCCTGGAAGAGAAAGAGGCTCAGGGCTGGTGGTCCAGATCTTCTCCTGCCCTACTTGGCCTAGAGACCTCAGGGTAACCTTGGGGCGTCCTTCCTTCACACTTGGGGGTCCCAGGACCTTTCCTGGTGATGCACACAAGTAGGAAGGTCAGGGCTAATTGGCAGCACAAAACCTGCTGCGTGACCTTGACCAGATGTCTCGCAAGTGAGGCACAGGCTGAGGCCGTGTGTGATGGCAAAGGGCTGACGGTGTTGGAACAGGGACACAATCAGAGCAGTCCTCTGGGAATGGGAAGAGAGAGCTGCAAAAGTAGAACCATTCGCCATTCTCTCCTGGGGGCTCCTTAAATCAAAAGCTTTCCAGGTTCAATTAAGATAGAACTGAACTTCCCCCATCTTTGCCTTGAATGACATGCATGGTAATCATGCTGGGAAAAGAAATGTTATAAAGATATACGTGATTAAATGTAATAGTTTTTAAAAATGCAAAATAATAATAATAATCTGCAAAAAAAAAAGAAAAAACAATAAAACTGGACTTTACAATAGATGCCCACCCAGAAGATGACGGAAACATAGTCACTGTGAAAGCAAGTTGTACCACCACGTCCCTGTATGCCTCTGCAACATGCCAGCCTGCTGGAAGCTAGTTCCAGGGAGTTGACTGGCCTGGTGGCTTGGGACGTCTGCCAGGGTGCGAGAGAGGAGCGAGCAGTCTTGATCAGTGCATGACCCCAGGGTGTCTCCCCAGCTTCTGCTCCGGCTCTGGCTATGTGCCGAGGAGTCGGGGCAACACAGGTGGTGGTAGTACTAGTCCCATTGTGATTACTGGTGCCACTGTGATTACTAGTCCCTCTATGACTGCAAGTGCGACCTCCACCTATGGTAATAGTAGTAACTACCGTGGGTGGATCAAGGACTAAGGTAAACTAACTCACTGCCCCAGTTTTTACGCCTCTGATCCTCACAGCAACTGTGGGAGTTAGTTACTGTTGTTGCTCCATATTTTATAAACATGGAAATAAAGACGAAGGGGGTTTAAGTGGCTTGATCATGGACAAAAGCCCGTCAGGGGCGGAGCTGGCTTGTGACTTGCACAGCAGGGCTGCAGGATGTCCTTGGCAGTGGGAAGAGTACAGTTCCAGTTGTTTGACCAACAAGCTATGTGCTCTCGAATGAGCTGCTTCTTTGGGCCTTGGACTCCTCACCTACTGGGGGTCATTGGGCTGGAGAGTACTGTGTGCTGACCATCTCTTTTTTTTTTTGGAGAGGTTTTTGCTAGAGGGTGCATGTGCTCGCCAGACAGACAGAGAGAGACAGAGAGACAGAAAGCGAGAAATCACCCCCCAGGGGGGATGGCCATGCCGCAATCCCTTCTCCTCCGTTCTCCTCTCGGGATCTTGGCATGCACGCACACACACCTGGCATGAGTTTTAAGCCACCGGGTCTGGGATGCGAACCGTGGTTGACTACGTGGGAGTCCAGTGACATAGCCATTACGCTAACTGCTGGTCCCATGACCACCTCTTCACACTCACTAGGCCCTCACCTGACCAGGAACTTGGTCTGCTTCCTCTAATAAAATCTTTACAACCATGTTGGGGAAGTATAGTTATCACCCCATTTTGTAGATGAGCTAACTAGGGCTCAAAAAGAAAAGATAGAATTCTTATTTAGAATCTATAAATAATGTGTTATCAACAACAACAACAATAACAAAAATCATGGAAGCTAACATTTAGTGAGTATACACTAAGTTTCATACATACAGTCCTAAGGCCTTTACATCCATTAACTCATCCAACCTCCACAGACCCTAGGAGTAGATGTTGTTTACCTCTTTATCTTAGAGAGGAGGAAGCCAGGGCACAGAAAGGTTTGGTACCTTCTCTAAATCACACAGCTGACAAGTGGCAGAGCCAGGAGTCCAGTCCAAGAAGCTCACTTCTGGGCCATCCTCTTGACCCCCATATTGTGTTTTTGTATCCAGAATAAGATGGTATGTCCTCAAACTAAATAAGTCCTCTCCCTCCAGTGTAGACAGCACTGGCTGACCCTATGGAATTGGTGTCTCAATTCTAGGCCCTACCTGAGCTCAGTAAGTCAGAAACGAAGGACAACAGAAGGGAGAGCTCAGTGTCCTCACATACAATGTGGGTAGAGCAGAGCAGAGCCACTGTCACTGGGCCATTGAGAGGATCGCTGAGGTGATGCAGAGGAAAGCCGCCTTCCACATGCCCGTTCTGCTCATGTGAAAGAGACCACAGATCGACATCCAGACAGGAGGAGACCCATTCCCTGATGGCCGGCGGGAAGGCTGAGAGGCAATGGACATATATCCAGGGACAAGGGTGATCTTCCAAGAGCTGCCCATGAAAGGCGCCAGTGGTCTTTGCACTTCTGAATCAGGACCGGAAGGTCTGGGCGATGCACGGGTGTTGCAGTGAGGACAGGCTGTGCTGTGGCAAGCCTGGGAGCTGAGGGCAGTACTGGGTGGGCAGAGATCCAAAGGCCAGGGGAGGACCTGGAGGGAGGAGCCCAGGGCTGGTTCTGCCACAAGGAGAGCCCAAATCCCAGGCTCTGAACTTGAGAAGCTCCGTGTTCTCAGAAGCAGCTAAAGGCAGTGTCGGGAGAAGCTCCGTGCCCCTAGTCCTGGCTTGTAACTGTCCTTGGGAGACTTCAGCAAATTACTTCACACCTTTTCTCTCTGGTAACTCAGACAAAATGTCATCAGCAGTGGTTCCCAGGCATGGGGGTGAGATGCGTGATAACCACGAGGGCCAGCCTTTTCTCCGTACCAGGTCGTGGTCTCCATGCTCCAGGGAAATTAATTTAGGGAAGCCTCACAGTAATCCTACGAGGCAGAGAATGTGACCATTGCATTTTGTAGATGAGGGGCTGAGACACAGCAAGGTCAGTGGCTTGCCCGAGACCACAGGGCTGATCGGAGGTAGGTAAGAGGTAGAGCCAGGACCCGAACACCCTAGCCAAGCATTTAGCCCCTACGTGGTAGACCTTCCACAGCCCTCGTAGGTTCTTGGTGCAAGGTGGTGGCACTACTACTATTATTCACTGTGTTTGTTGTTAGGTCTGAGGAGGGGCCTGGTGGCCATGGCCAGAGGAAAGGACAAGCAGTCAGGAGCTCAGTGAGGAAGAGGAGGACCTGCAGGGTATGGAGCTGAACAATCCAGACAGCCGTCCCAGGACTGGTGTCTTTGTAATCGGTCTGAGCTCCTCGGAGCAGACCTGGCAGCTTGGCCTCTGGACTCAGGAGAGACACGGGCCTATTACATGATCTTCTGTTCTGAACCCACTTAGAGAAGCTCAGGGTCTCCAGATACTGGCAAGGCTGGCTACAAGACGTACAATGCAAGACTCCGAGACACGAGAGCCTCGACCTGTGGCTCACTTTGAGAGAACCCTAACTACCGGCTCGTGATGAGAATGCGCGATAGAAGTACACCACCCACAGCCAGGGCCCGGAGTTCAGCGGTGCTGGGAGTAAACCAGGGTCGGGATGTTTTAGTGATTGTAGAATCTATGCCAACAATGAGGCCGCTTTCCTGAGAACCACAGGCTGTGCACTTCTTTAACATAAGACACGCGAGCACACATACGCACACACTCCGTACGTTCGAGGCCGAAGCCTGTGCTCTGTCTGAATACAAACTCTAGAGTAGCTGAGGAGAGATGCTCCACCCAGCCCTGCCCACAGCTGGTCTTGGGAGATGAGAATTTCAGGATGGGGCCCCCTGATGTTTTCAGCATGTACTTCAGCTATAAAAAGCCCAGGTTCCTGATATAGCGAGGAAGTGGTTAAAGGCGTGGGTTACGCTGATAGTGTGTGATGGCTTAGAGAACTTTCCTCTCTCACAGTATTTTGTTTTAATCAATGCCTCTGCAAGAAGCCTGTTTCTTCATGGAAAATCAGGGGTTAAGCAAAGCAAAGGCCGGCAGCCCTCATCCTAAAGCTCTTGACTAAAGATAAAAAACAGGGCACCATGCACAGTCCTGCAAAGAACATGCTCTGCAAGAAGCCTGTTTCTTCATGGAAAATCAGGGGTTAAGCAAAGCAAAGGCCGGCAGCCCTCATCCTAAAGCTCTTGACTAAAGATAAAAAACAGGGCACCATGCACAGTCCTGCAAAGAACATGGGGCTTGGAGGAGAGGGCCAGGTCCAGACCCCAACTGTGTCATGTGCTGATGACGTGACCTTGAGCGAGTGACCATCTCCATCTCACCTGAGAATGGGAGTGATAAACCATGCGGCCCAGGCCATTATAAAGATACCCGTGGTACATGGCACGAAGGTGGTGGGTGTCCTCTGCACAGCAGGTGCAGTGCTTCAGGCTGCCGTCAGCATGGGAGGGGGAGGGTCTCACAGGACCCCTGCAGGGTGTGAAGGTGTCAGCTCTTCTCATCTGCCCAGTCCTGCTAGCGTGTCTGCAGGCTGGGCTCTTGCTTTATCTAAATCTGACCTAGCTATTAAATGGTAATGACTTTCTGCTTACTGTTGTTTTTTTCTTTCTTTCTTTCTTTTTTTTTTTAATTTAAAAATAGTGCAGGTGAAAACCTCAATTGCTGACCACTGCTTTTCCTTTCCAGAGCCTCTGAACATTGGAAGGTGCCCTGACCTCTGTTACCCTCTGCAGTCCAAGCACACAGACACACAGAGCCACACACTCAGATACACACACACAGACACAGTCACAGACACATACACATACACACAAACATGCACACGCTCAAATACATGCAAGGACACACATGTACAGAGATACAAAGACATGCACACAAAACAACAACTCTTCTTTTTCTTTTTTTTTTTTTTGAGAGTTTTTTTCGCTATAGGGCACGTGCGTTCGCCAGACAGACAGAGAGAGACATAGAGACAGAAAGCGAGAAATTACCCCCCAGGGGGGATGGTCATGCCACAATCCCTTCTCCTCCATTCTCCTCTCGGAATCTTGGGCATGCACGCACACGCGCCCGGCGTGAGTTTT